CGCTAAGAGATTTTGACATTAACACCTGTAGTTATTGTTCATTACATTTCTTGAAAATTTCTTTGTTAAAATGTAAAAATTAAAACTTGGCATACTCGTTTCAACCAGTGTATACATATATTTTCGTCTGCATTGGAAAGTTGAATTTTATGTTAACATATCAAGTTATTTAAATCATAGAATACTCTAATCAAGTTATACAAACGATCGACTCGATGTCATTATTCCCGTATTTGATAAGCTATTTTACTATGGCCAAACTGCATTGGAATTTATCAGCGGGAACTAACACATGGTGTACTTGCTTACAACAATTTGGTGCAGCCAAATGCTTGAGCTAGGCTTATTGCCAAATAATGTTATCTTAATTATACATGAACTGACGTCATGCGCGACTATTTCAATTCCACTATTAAAAATAATTTTACCACATGCTGCTCTATTCTTAGACTTAGTAAGTGCGTTATTTGAAACTTGATATTGTATCAATAATTCTCAACATTTTCACAAACATAGGGCTTTGGAACCAATGTACGCTTATTGAAATGTGAATGACATATTCAGTGTCATCCTTTACGCTTTGGGAGGGGGCGAGGGAAAGGGTCGAACCGGTCGATAAATGAGTACTCTGTGTAGGCTTGTAAAAATGTTAAGAATTATGGACGGCCAGCCTAAATGTCCGAGACATATCCGTATATGATTCCTATACGGATGAAACAGTGAGACTGTTGTGGTTTTTGAGGTAAAATGAAAAACGTGAATCACTCAGCGTATGAACAATTGCAGGTTTTCATATTCGGAAAGATCAGGCTTTTAGCTATTGAATGACATGCTTTTCGTACCAATTAAGTGGAGAAAAAATAAGCATGTACGAGACCGATAAAAAATATTAGTCAAAATCGCATATTTTTACCTCTGTGCCTTATTAAAACAATGCATAACAAAAGAAAAAGCAGTTAATCACGAACGTGTCGTAGCTTAGCTTAGCTAAGATTTATTCCTACTTAATAATAATTATGAATATGTGCGTCGTTTATTGAAGTGAAATTCACCAACTTAAGTACCAAAGGGGGTTAATTTTCAATGGTTTTAGACCCAACTCTCAACGATATATATATATATGTATAGATAAAACATGAGCAGCCGATCTGTATCTGATATACAAACTCGAGCCGAAGGCGAAAGTTTTTATATCAGATACAGATCGGATGCGAATCCGATGCAATTCCCAACGGTGGAAGAATGTGATTTCGAACGGCAATTTTTATTTGACGAGTATGTGGACATTTCTCATCGTTACAGTTTAAAAAAGGTATCATTGAAAAGCTAAATAACAGCTCTTTCGTCCTATGTAAAAATTGAATTGTTTAGTATAAGTTTATGATGCACGACAGCCTGTTGAAATTCCATAGCGTTTTTTTTTAGACACCCTGTATATTGTAAATGTTTAAAATATAAAAAAACTATCAGTTCCCTGAAAGTTTATAAAAGAATGAATACAAAGAATGCAAAGAATGCACGAAACAGCACGTACGATCAGCACGAACTACGAAGGCAAAATTTTCCATGTGGCACGCCATATATGGTCACGAGATCCATATACGGATAAAATGAGCCCGCAAAGAGTGTTGAATACACATTCCAGCGGAAAAGGTGTTGAACACAATTTTTTGCGCTGCTGAATTTTCACAATTCAGCGAAAATCTACCATATTTGAGATTAGAGTGCTCCCAGCTCGGTCGCTGGTCGCAATAACTTGAACTGACTAGTAAATCGGACAATCGGACAATCTCTCGACAAGAACACCCAAACAGACATCGTTTACCTAGATTTTGCAAAGGCATTTGACACTGTTGACCACAATATTCTTCTCCACAAACTTAAACAGTATGGCGTATCAGGACAGTTGTATGCATGATTCGAAGACTATCTGAGCGGTCGTTGTCAACGAGTTGTGGTAGATGAATTGAATTGATTTAATAACTACTGACTTTGTAACCCAAAAAGGTTAAATTACACCAGTATTACATAAATTAAGAGGATAAGTTAAAATTACATAATAATTACATATTTAAGATTATTTACATTTCTAAAAACTTATTTACTGTTAATCTTTAATATACTTTGAGGTAAAAACGAATTCTTAAAACGTTCGGTTCTGCAAACATAATTATGATATTTACATATCGGTCTTAGATCATATCCAGATAAAACTGTTTGTGGTAAAAGATCTTTGAGATTTTCATTGTCAATATTCTTCTCAAAGAAATGTTCGCATAATTTTTCTCGTCGATCTCTCAGTGACGTGATGTTAGTCGTGATCAGCGCTTCGTCGTACTTTTGCGATGGGAGGATTATTCTCAACGCGCGTTTTTGTATTTTTTCAATATCGTCACATAAATATTGTTGGATATTGTAATGCCAGACCTGGCATGCGTACTCTAAAACAGGCCTAATAATGGTAGTATATACAGTAATTAACGTGTCAATACACGCGTTGGACCTTTTTAGCAGTCTTAGCATATAGAGCCTCTTGCTAGCTTTTTTAACTATGTTATTTATATGTTCATTCCACTTCATGTTATCTTGGACTGTGAGGCCAAGGATACGGGCAGATTTCTCTCGTTCAATATTAACTTTATCGACTGTTAAAGGGGGTAAGCAATGCTTCTTTTTTGCAAAATCAATAACCAGTTCTTTGCATTTTCCAATGTTTAATTTCATATTATTACTCGTAGTCCAATTATTGATGTAATTAACCAGTTCTTGAAGGTTGCTGTTACAATCTGGGCCAATGGTTTCGGTAGTGGTGGTGTCGTCAACGTATTTCCATCGGTCTTTCCAATCAGCGAGGAGGTCGTTTATCATGATTAGGAAGAGGATTGGGCCTAAAACAGTTCCCTGGGGTACTCCACCGTTGAGGATTTGCCATTCTGACACACAATGGGGCATTCTGACCCGTTGGCTTCGTTGAGTAAGAAAACTTCTTATCCAGTTTGTTATTAATGATGGAACGTCCATATCAGATAATTTACTGAGGAGGATGTTATGATCGATATGATCAAAAGCTTTGGAGAAGTCTAATAAAAAAATTCTCACAGCGTTTTTCGGCACATCAGTTTCGTTTAATAAGTGATGGAGAAGGCTCAATAATGCATGTGTTGTTGAAGAGTTTTTTAGAGATCCAAATTGCCGTTTATCGATCTTCTCACCAATCAACTCCATCAGCCAGTCTGCGACAAAACGTTCACACGTTTTTGACAAAGTGGCAGTAAGCGAGATGGGACGCAAGTCTTTAGTAATGTCCCTCAGCACCTTATTTTTAGGTACAGGGATGACGTCGGCTTTTTTCCATACCCCGGGAACAGACGCCTGTTGAAGGGAGGCGTTGAAGATTGAAGTAACAGGGGAAGACAGCAGGGGCGCATAATCTTTTAGGACCCAATTCGGTATTTCATCTGGACCAGCTGCTTTCGAGGATGATATTGAAGATAATTTATAATAAATGTCTTCTTCCCTAATAATGTACTCGGTTGGAATTGTAGTGCAATCGCTTTGTAATTGGCTATCGGGGAAAGGGATAGGACTAAAAGGAGGAATATCTCGAGTAACGGATACGAAAGCCTCGTTAATTTTTTCAGCAAGTTGCTTTCCAGAGACGACTTGCTCTCCTAGGACAATACTTGAAAAAGATTTCTTCTTAGGGTAGCCAGCTATTTGTTTTACGGTGTCCCACCATTTCTTAGGATCAGGGTTACGTTTCAATTGTTTCAATTTATGTTCTAAGAATGCAGATTTAAGGTACTTACTTTCTCGATTGGCACGATTACGTAGTCGCCGGTACAATTTGTCATTTTTCTGAAAAAATGCCTTCTGTCTGCTTTTAATAAGTTCCTTGTATGAAGGTGTTATCCAAGGCTTATCTCGGTCGTGCATTTTAACTACTTTACATGGAAGGAAGTGGTCTAAGCCGGTATGAATAACATCCTGAAAAATTTCCAGTTTTTGTTCGCACGGTGCAGTACGATACAGGTTAGTCCAATTATAGTTCGTTAGCCATCTTCCAAATGCAACTTTGGCACCTCTGTTACCGGGTCTAATTTTTATTTTCTTGCATCCGTTCAATGATTTACATTTTTTTTAAATGCATAAAACGGAATTATGGTCGCTGAGTCCGATGGGTGCGATCACCTTAGGAGGGTCACATGTGTCTGACATATTAGTAAGAATAAGATCAAGGACAGCATCTTTCCTGGTTGGTTGTTTTACGATTTGTTTCAAAGTAAAATGTCTTAATAAAGATGAGACAGGACATCTGTTAAAATCTCCGAGTAAAAATATACCTGCATTTGGGTACTTACTGAGAGCGAGGTCAAGTGTTGAGCTGAGGTGATCTATAAACGCGGCGTTGTCGCTGGATGGAGGTTTATAGGCCACACAGACGATCAAACACGAGAAGCCTCGATTAAGTTTATAAGGTCGTACATAGATCCATAAGGTTTCAAAATTGATGTCATTAAATTCTGTTAGAATTTTGAACGGGATGTCTGATTTAATAAAAGCACAAACTCCACCGCCAAGTTTATCAATTCGATCACATCTTGCTATTGAATACCCGCGAATACAAACTGCTGCATCGTCGATTTTCTCATTTAACCATGTTTCGGTTATGAAGGCCATACTCACATCATATTGGTCAAGTATAATTTTTAATTCATCCACCTTTGGTAAAAGTGATCTTGTATTTGAGAGAAAGAATGTCAGTAAATTACTTTGGGCGCACTTTGGGCTTTGATATAGAGACGTGCTTTGATATAGGGATGGATTCTTGATTGGAATTTCAATTAGATTACGCGTTCCGCTACGGTTTCGTTTGCTAGTATTAGAAATATGTTCATTATAACACGAAGCGCTAGACTGCTGACCTTCGAATTCATGGTAAGATGTAATTCTTACTGGTATAGTGTTTCGTTCTGGTGTGATTATAGTGTTGTTACTAGCTGCGAGAGGAAGATGGAGTTGCATCTTCCTGGGCACCTGTAACATCTGGTGTGCCACAAGGAAGTATCCTATATAGGACCTGTTCTGTTTGCGATCTTTATAAACGATCTTCCAAATGTACTACCAGGGCAGCATTGTATGCAGATGACACCAAAGTGTACAAATCAATTAAATCGGAAGATGACTGTCAAATTCTGCAACACGCCTTGACCAGCCTTGAATGTTGGAGTCATGATAACAACCTAGATTTCAACCAGTCGAAATGTAAGGTGCTGACCATCACACGAAAAAAGACTCCCCTCGTGCATGTCTACCACATGAATTCAAAGGAACTCTTGCGTGTGGATAAAGAGAAAGACCTTGGTGTTTGCGTCAGTGCCAACTTCAGTTGAGATGTTCACATCCATACAATCACGGGTAAGGCTAACAAGATGCTCGGGCTGCTTAAACGAACTTGCCCTCTTTTGAGAGACAAAACAGTACGACGAACGCTGTATCTCTCGCTTGTTAGATCTCAGCTATGTTACGCTAGTGAAGTTTGGTCTCCACACTCTGTCAAACTCAAGTCTAGAGTCGAAAGCGTCCAAAGAAGAGCCACCGCGTGGATACTACAATCCAAGCATGGCGAAATGACATACCAACAACGGCTAATGAATCTCAACCTGCTCCCCCTCTGCTATGAAAGAGAGATTTCTGATCTGATATTCTTCTTCAAGGCTCTCTTTGGCAACACAGATTTGGACGTTAACACCTTTGTCTCCTTTTCCAACAACAATCGGACCCGACTCTGCCAAAATCCCTCCCTCACCCTTAAAGTCCCCCTCTGTAAATCCAACACATTCAAAGCATCCTATTTCAACCGACTAGTTAAAATATGGAACTATACCTGTAAAATTCTACCTCCTACCACCTTCGCCACCCTCTCTTCGTTTAAAAGAAACATTAAAAGCACATATGAACACTTGCTCGGAACAATGTCCGACATAGAAATGCCATGTACATGGTCATTAGTGCGTGACTGTCCATGTCATGGAACTTAGTAAATAACTGTGTTTCATGTTTGTGCTGTTTTGTATTGTATTTTGTTCTATTTTATTGTTTTGTATAGTTTTAGAATGGTAAGCACCTTGCATGGGACTTTATGTCTCGTTCGTGCTTGATATTGTCCATTTGAGTATTCTACTTATTTCTACATAGAACTGTTGTGTTTAAAACGTTGTAGAATTCTCAATAAAATTGTTAAAAAAAAAAAAATAAAAAAAAATGTCTCGGACATTTAGGCTGGCCGTCCATAATTCTTAACATTTTTACAAGCCTACACAGAGTACTCATTTATCGACCGGTTCGACCCTTTCCCTCGCCCCCTCCCAAAGCGTAAAGGATGACACTGAATATGTCATTCACATTTCAATAAGCGTACATTGGTTCCAAAGCCCTACGTTTGTGAAAATGTTGAGAATTATTGATACAATATCAAGTTTCAAATAACGCACTTACTAAGTCTAAGAATAGAGCAGCATGTGGTAAAATTATTTTTAATAGTGGAATTGAAATAGTCGCGCATGACGTCAGTTCAGGTATAATTAAGATAACATTATTTGGCAATAAGCCTAGGTCAAGCATTTGGCTGCACCAAATTGTTGTAAGCAAGTACACCATGTGTTAGTTCCCGCTGATAAATTTCAATGCAGTTTGGCCATAGTAAAATAGCTTATCAAATACGGGAATAATGACATCGAGTCGATCGTTTGTATAACTTGATTCGAGTATTCTATGATTTAAATAACTTGATATGTTAACATAAAATTCAACTTTCCAATGCAGACGAAAATATATGTATACACTGGTTGAAACGAGTATGCCAAGTTTAATTTTTTACATTTTAACAAAGAAATTTTCAAGAAATGTAATGAACAATAACTACAGGTGTTAATGTCAAAATCTCTTAGCGCTTTTTTTACTGTTCTATAGGGAAAACTTTCTCTTGACACTTTCCACTTTCATTGTTATACTTTGCTAATTATATAATTAAAACTTTTATGGAAACGTTTCGGCTAGAGAGACACCACAGGAAGTCCAGACTTTGTGCATGTGTAGCCCGCATCAAGCCTTTGCATGGCCACGTCATGCAGCCCTAACCCTACCTTAATTTTTAAAATAGGAAAGGAAAGAATTCCTTCCCTATTTAATGAATGAATATATATATATATATATATATATATATATATATATATATATATATATATATATATATATATATATATATATATATATATATATATATAGTTTTTCGTTTTACCTCAAAAAACCACAACAGTCTGTTTCATCCGTATAGGAATCATCAGGTGGTCACCACCTGATGATTCCTATACGGATGAAACAGACTGTTGTGGTTTTTTGAGGTAAAACGAAAAACTATATTACGCTCTATCTATATGGTATTGAGCACTGTTTGTGTTTCGTAAACCAAAAACTTAAGCTATATATACTATATATATTTATATCCGTATAGGAATCATATATAACGCTTATATATATATATAGGCTATAT